AACTGTACAATAAAAGAACTGCAACAAATCAAAAGAATGTGAAGTATAAAGCACACACAAACGTTATGAAAGTTGGCAAATGATAGTGACGGGACATGAATTAAAGGGAGCGCGCTTAATATAAATATGTATAAAAGTCTTCTTCAATTTCTACTAAAATATATTAGAATGAACCGGAAACACAGCGGAGTTACGAGATCAGACGACGAGCCATGTTCGTCAATAAATAACATCTTCACCATCCACTTCTGGGCAGCAAAAAAGGGCTTCGTGTCCCCTATTTGTAGTTCATCGAGGGAAGAACGTAACCGCAACTAAATGGAAGTACAAAAATGGAAGTAAAACAATAATTTGAGAATGTTAAGAAACACGACCACACATGTTGGTCCACGACCACAGCACACTTACCATTAGAACAAATGGAAATTAGCATTGCATTCTCACCACATTTTGAGTAAATATCAGTGAAAGCATTTGAAGAATGTGAGTTGCAGAAGAGTAAAATTTTACCGTTGATCTTGCCGTACACCGATCGCTGGGAATAGAAAAGCATCAGCATTAATTTCCATTGTACACTCAAACAACTTCCAGGATACAGTTTGCAAGAAGAAGCTCATCACGGCTCATACCATTGCTGAACGCCTGAACAAGGCTTCTCAGCAGCATCATCGGTAACCAAATGTTAAATATCCAGAACTTACAACGCATGGAGCTTGGAAGTGGTTGCTGTTACCGATGCAGTGATGTTAACTTCGAAAAAGTTTTCTCAATGGAGTTGCACGAAATATCGTTGAGGGTACTTGTACTACTCCAGTACTTGATCGGTGAAGCATAGCGTGAGCAACAAAAGCAGCGATACCGGACAATGGCTACCATCCCTGACGCACTCAATTGACTTCGATCCAACTTATTTCCACATTCCGGACAAAATCGGAACAGCCTTGTGAGCATTTCTCCTTGTACAAGGTAGTATATACTGGATGAAGAGGGCTCGGTCTCACCGATGGAGTCCTTGCATAAGGCAATATCTTTGTTAGAGCTCGCAATCATGCTAGTAGAAGGCTTGGTCTCATTCAACGAGTGGTCCGTGTATGGGGAATTATCGCTGTTGGAGCTAGTGAACAGGCCGGCTGCTGTGAGCTCATCTCCACGCATAGGACGCACATGCGAAATGCCACTGCTGCAGTTCTTTGGCTCACGGCAGTGTTGGTGATCGTGAGTGGTTGTACTCACTGGGGCTGCCGACAAACGTACGGTATGAATTGGTCGACCCTAAAGCAATACGCTAAATTCAGTAAAAAAAAAACGAATTTACTCTCCAACTAACCATCGTGACTTTCACTGAAGGTAAGCTAGCGCTATTTGGCAGGTGCGAACGACCCAATGATGAGCTCTCTTCATCTCCTGCACGCTGGCTCTGGCTATTCACGGTGTTCTCCGGCGGCTGCAGTGAACTTTCATCTGGACATCGGCTTTGACTACTATCGGCTTGTTCAAGCGGCCACAACGGAGTAGCGTAGTATCGCCGAATACACCCGTTCATGAACTGGCAAACATCGCTTTTTGTAGCAGCTCCGTCAGCCTAAACAAATAGTTACAAGCACCAATCTCAGATGAGATCGAGTCGAACAACGTATTCTGTTAACGAAATGGAGCAGCAGTAGTCAGTATGACGCGCTAGAGCTTTAGAAAGTGAGCTCATGACGGCCAATGTGAAACCTCAGGCACATCCCATGGTCTGCATCGTGAATTACGACCTGGCGGCTAATTTATACGCGCGGTCAGTGGAGTCATGGAGCAAGCAAGTTCGGATAACTCGTACGGGCCCATCCCTCTTTCATTTATACGATGGCGACGATGTCGGTCAAGGTTGACAGACGGGCAGTCTGTCCTGTGGGACAACTTCGGTCACTGGTGTCCAACAGCACTGTAAGCTAGTCAAATCATATGAAAAGCCGCAATTTTTTATGTCAGTAAATGTTTTGACAGTTGAGCTTACTTATTGGCTTCAAGGCTACTTATTTTGACTGGGACGCTTCCATTTGAAACATTTTTGTAATGATATTACAGCAATTAACACGTTGACAACCGCGTGGTATGATGTCATACCTAAACTTTTACATGGAGCAGACTAGTTTTTCTAGTTGTTTTTCTTAGTTTTTTATTTATTTGGCGTTTTTCCTTATTCCATACCATTCCATTTACATTATTGGATCCGAAAAACAATTTTTTCATTAGTGATAATTAAAACGCTAAGGAATAATGCCTTTTGGTGAGAGATTACGAAAAATGTTGAAGCAGGTACGCGGCACAATGTGGCGTCAACGTTGTCAGTCAATGCCAATCACTTTTCGCAGTTTTTCGGGCCCGGCTGCTCTTGTCAACGCTCTTTTTATATAACCGCAATTCATTTGTTTGCAGCAGGAATCACGAGAACACATTTAGTTAGAAATGTAGCCATTTTGATACCAACTTTACCCGAAGGATAGCAGGTGACCTCGTGAAACCTGAAGAAATTTCTCGAAGATATTATAGTTTTGTAGTTTGAATCTTGATAGTCTTCTTTATTTGGTATTTTGAATCTGGGGGATAGGGTGAAGAAGCGGTTATTTACTGCTTGAGTTCATATAAAGATTTCAAAAATACTCCATAAAGACTGCTCCATAGGACAACAACGACTGAAGACTCACACCTGCCGCGCGAAAAAAAAAGTGTCTCGTCCCCAGCGTGCACAGCAAAAATGCACTCGTCGTCAACGTGTCAGAAAGGCTTCATCGGTGGTTTGCTTTGCTTTTATACTTTGATTCCAGTCTACTCGGCATCCGCAATTCCATTATCGACCTCTGTTGCTCCACCATTTGATCTAGGGTTGTTGCTTTGATATAGTTTAACTATTAGAATAGAGAGATTCTAAAATTCATTGCATAAAACAAAAAAAAAAAAGTAAATGTTTGCCTAGGATATGCAACTCTTGAACCCAGCTACGGGACGGGTTTGCGCAATAGACTCTGCCTCATATCGCCTTTGACCAGGAGAGGTAAGCAAACCAGCCCTTTTGGCACATCGGCTGGGACCGTATGCTGAATGTTGGGGAGGGGATGGGGTCCCCAACGGTCGACGGTTTACTTCAACTCGGTTGGTACGATAGGAGAGTACTGACGCAAGTGGTGCAGCTGGTCCAGTAGCTTCGCCAGAAGGACCGGTCTGCTCACCCTTGGACTAAGCCTAGGAGAGGGGACGGACCCGTCCTCTCTTTAAGGCTTAGTTCTAAGGTAAGCGCCAAATTGTGGCGGTTCTAAGGACCGAGTTGAAGTGGTCCGTCCACCGTCGGGGACTCCATCCCCTCCCCAACATTCAGCATACGGTCCCAGCCGAAGCGCCAAAAGGGCTGGTTTGCTTACGTCCTGCCATTGCCGCGCGTTTCCTCGTCCAAATAGGAGGC